TGTGCATGCATCTATAGAGAAAGCGTCAGATTGTTGTGTTTCACCTGTTGACGTGTTTGACCAGATGTTGTATTGCCAAAACAGCACAGATAGGCAAAATTACGTACCAAACAGAAAAACAGGGTTAATCCATAACAACATTCATGCTAGAGCTTACAGTATTCTTGCAGTAACCGTCAAACATTGCTGGGATGAGTATGCGATGGAATAGCATTCCATAGGAAGGGTTTCTTTATGGTCTAAAGCCAAGAGAACATTTCTTAGCTGATGTGCAACTTCACCTACCTTTTTTTTTTAGACGCATCAGTCGGTAGTGAAATCCTATTTCGTTGCCGAGCAACTGGCTATCCACAACCAGTGATCACGTGGCGTAAAGGTTCGATACCCGTGTCCAGTCTTGACTTATCTCGGATGCAAATCCTTCCTGAAGGCGACCTACGAATATCTGATATAACAGAGGACGACACTGACATTTACACTTGCACAGCTACAAACTTTGTCGGCCCAATGGACGCCAAACAGGCGCGTTTAATCGTAATAGTTCCAGTTTCTGTGTCTGTGTCGCCTAAAAGAGTCAGCGCGCAGCCTGGTGCTGATGTTACGATAACGTGTGAGACACATGGCTTACCAAAACCAATCGTGGAGTGGTACAAGGGCGACACGTATTTGTCTACTAAAGGCAGATTACGAGTTTCCGGAGCAAATCTGATTATATCTCAAGTAGAATCTTCAGATAGTGGACATTATGAATGTCGAGCCCAAAATATCTACGAAAAGGACACAGATAAGACTTATTTGAACGTCCTTAAGAAACAAGGTAATATCCTTTGATTTCTTTTTTGCAGTTGGGTCTTTAACTCTCAAAGAAAAGTTTGGGACTTGTGATGTGATCCTATTGTGTAACCATTCAAATGACAGCTCATCGGCAGTATTTACACGTGGTACTAGCTATTTGTTTCTTAGCATTGAACATTGTGAGAAATGGAAATTTGTTGAATTTTGACTTTGGCCATTTTTTCGGAGGGAAAGGGTGAACAAAACGAACTAGCCATACATTGAAAATTCCTCTCTTTACCTCTTTTGCACTATAGGTGCCGCCATTGGTAAATAATGGTGAATCATGATCAGTGGGCTCGAGGAAGTGACTGCAGTTCTACTGTCACACATATTAAACCGTTCTTGTGTTCTCTTTCATTTTTATATATAGAGCCAACGACGAAACCTCCAGAAAAATGTGAAGACAATCCTTTGATCGCTCACTGTCCTGTGGTAAAAAGAGTCGGATTCTGCTGTATAAAGTTTTACCAGAAAGCCTGCTGCTATACTTGCAGGGATTTACTCCCTGGATGTAAAAGCTAAACGGTGCTAGAAAATAATGAGAAAAAGATGTCTACGAGGTGCTCTTGCGAATTTCGTTCAAGATAGACAGTACGGTGTAGCCGCAAGGAAGCCCTTTACACGTAAAGGGCGTTCAAACTTATTATATCACCGTAAACAACAAAAGTATACATAAATTATTGTTCATGTTATTATTAAATGTACTATGCTTTTAGCACGCTTATTCCACGAAGAAATCGATATACATGAAAGAGCTAGGTTTGCTTTTTCTGCTTATGACTTTTTATGAATAAATCTAAGACAGATCCCCTTAACTTATCTTGTGATATAATAAACCCTTGTTGGGAAGCATTTGACGAGAAATGATTAAAAAAAAAAACGGCTTGAATACGTGTCCTGAGGCTTCGTTCACACAGCACGGCACTTCCTTCACACTGCCCACCTCGTCTAGCTTTTGCTATTTGCGGGCGGAGATGGCAAAATGACGAGTATGAAAATAAAGTATAGTGTGTAAGTTTTCAACTGGTTGAAAATTTGTGCGTTTAGTTAGGTCTTACGTTCACACGATGGAGGCGTGTGTGGCTGAGTGGTGAACACGTCGAACTCTGGATCTGGAGGTCCGGGGCTCAAGCCTCGCCCGTCGCGTTCCTTAGACAGTGAGGGAATTTTACTGCACTTTGTCTCTCTTCACCCAGGTGTATAAATGGGTACCGGCGACATACTGCTGGGGGGGGGAGGGGGGGTAACCCTGCGATGGCCTAGCATCCCGTCCAGGGGGAGTAGCAATACTTTTAGGCGTGCTTCTGCTAAGGAAACCGGTAAGCTCCTTTATACCGAGTGGGCCTTTGGCTCGTGTGCGCCTTTACCTTTACCTACGTTCACACGGAACGGAGATTTAGACACCTTGCCGTTCAAAAGTTTGAGCGCCAGGATCGAGGTCAAATTTTTAGCCGATACGGTCGGAAATTTGATCGGCGTTGTGTGAACAGGCACCATATCTGTCTAAATATTTGCGCAGGAAAATTGACCTACGCGGTCTGAACATCATAACCGTCTGAATTTTTGTACGGCAATTGCAAAGGCGTGGTTGCATAGATTCACGCTGGTTCGACTGGTTCGTCAGTTCCGTATGAGAAAACAGTTAGTCTGTGAGCAGGCTCATCATTTGTGAGTTTGAGGAAAATTTTGGCAGTGGAGCCGCCTCACGCCAAAATTTTTCCGTACTCGTGCAAGAGAGCCTGCGAGCAGGCTAGAACAGTAAGAACGAAGTGTCCGGTCAAATTTTTCAGCCGGCCGAAAATTCGTCCCGTGCGTGTGCTGTCATCGTTGCCTGATCAAGAGAAGGGGAAAAGAAAGGGGGCCGAAACTGTTTCCCTCAGCGGTTTTTTGTGGTACCTACTCTTATAGTTTTTTAGAGGCTATTCACTTAAGATTTCACCCTAACTGACATGTCAACAGGGAAAGAGGAATTGAGATCCCTGAAGCGCAGATGCCTAAGTATAAAATCAGAAAACATGCACGACAGTCGATTGGTACCACAATGGACGGCTGAGAAAACAATTTCGTATTCTAGGGCCGTGGTCAGAGTAATTTTACTCAATTTCGGAAGCCATTAGGTTGCCCGCAAAATGAAAGATTTCCAAGAGCAATGTCAAACTGTCGCTTTCACTTCGTGTGACGGACACAGATGACGTAAAAAAGAAAAGACAAGACCTCTATGTTTTCTGTTCAGGGAAAAAATCTGCTTGGTATTTGTTTCATGGTTTTTGTTCTTTTGTTTTACGTCGTATGTGTCCGGTACACGAAGTAAACAATGAGTAAATGCCAAACTGTGTTCTGTGCGGCAGTGTGTTTGTCACAGGGTATACTGGCTCACCATCAGGCGCAGAAGAGCTTTGGGGTCGAGATTGACCATTTAGGGATACAATTGATTTCATTTTATTCATTTCCATGACCACTTGGGCGGGAAATCTATCTAGATGGGAGGAGTTGGTAAAGCGGCTATGTCACAAAGGATCTATATTGCTGATCCAAGTCAATTCTGTGCTGATGTCTTACAGAGGGGAACATTGGGGGGTACCCAATAGCTACCCAATACCGCAATACCGTACGAAAAATTGGCAAATACAGAAATGCCGTGTCGAAAATGGACGAAATACCGATACCGCTTTTATGATCGGTGACGCTTACTTAACGTTGTATCCATCTCGCGAGTTTTTTTTATTTTTTTATCTCGAGCATGTATACACCCGAAATCAACCTCAGCCTTCGCGAGAAAACGTGAGAAGATCTCGAACTGATGGGTACAACGATCACAAAGCCAGGTCATTGGATGTCCTACCATATCATTGAGTAACTATCAGAAATCGTGTATTCATTTACGGTTAAGTCTGAAGTCTTCCAAATATTGAACTAACGCAATACCGTGAAGGATTTCCTTTTACTGAATACCGTTAGCCTGAAGGATGAAAAACCGCATACCGCACGGCTGAATGATACCGCAATACCGTACATTAAAATCAAAATTTCCGAAATACCGCTTGAAAAAAAGCTCAATACCTCAATACCGTAAACCCCCATGTCCCCCTCCATACCCGTACATAGAGATATGAGGAAGATATCATGAACAAATTTCATAAGGCCATCCCCATAAAATGTTTCGTTTCCCATCGCCCTCCCTCTCGTGAAGGTGAGTCGGTCGGTCGGGCAAAAAAAAAAAAATGAACACATGATTGCATATTAAATCTCACGTTTAGTCTGCAAGATATAATCAGATGGTAAAAGATGTATATTAACAGGACTATCAAATGTCTAAAAAGGCTACAAAAACGAAGTATCAATGATAATTGAAGACCATTGGTGTTCATAAGACAAGATCGTGTGCTTGTAAATTTTAGTACTTGCTTCTTTACAAGCTAGTGATTCTGGAACTTTTTTTTTTACTTTTCTAAAAAAATTGGTCGGTCGGGCGATGGGAAACGAAACATTTTACGGTGATGAACTAAGGGAGCACTGATCATGGCAGAAAACTGAACCATTATTTTAGAACTCAATTGCCAAATGCGAGGACAAATTTCAGAAACTAGCGTAGCATTGCCCGGCTGCTAAATCCCGGCTATTAACGCAATATCATGAGTCCTTTTTTCATTGTTTCTCCAACCAATCCCATGAGGTCTTACGAAAGCCAAGTCCTTCAAGGCTCGAGGTCCGTCACGCGTTCCTCTTTGCGAAACACATTTCTTTAGTCTTGACTATTTCTAACATGTTTCCTTGTAACAACAGTATAAAACTGAAAACAGAGAGTGCAGTATTAGAATTTCTTTCGAGCAAAGTCAACTGTCTGTCAAAGAAAGAAAATCGCTGAGAACACACTTTCCTGTTCCGTGTGGGAATTTGTGACGTGTCATTGCTATATATAATTTATGATAAAATTCTTGTAAAACTGCAACGTGCCCTAGATCGTGTAGGTAAAATTACGTCTTCTAATACGCGAAACAGCTTATAAATTTCACATAATTTTAATTCAATATGTATCATTGTTGTTGTTTTCCTGTGTATCTGTTGTATATGTTGTAGTTAATTTTTTTATCTCAGTCAATTTTCATTAGCATATACATTGCTACAAAGATGACGTATTTCCATTCCAAAAATAACTCCACCTGGCATGGAGCATATATAAATCTCAAGGCGCTCGGTTACGAAACCATGCAGTTACTTTACGATCGAAAGGCCAAGCATAAAAAACATCTCCTTTTGTGCTGTTCAGATTCATCCCACGAGAAGTAATAAACATGGATAGAAGATTTGGTCTACTACAAAAAGAAAACGGTTCACGGATCCCTTTGGAAAGCATCAACATTCATGTTGATGTTCAAGGTTTTACCGCTCACGTCGTGGCCTCGATGAAATACTCGAACAAGGAAGAAAATCCTATCGAAGCAATTTACATCTTTCCGCTAGATGAACAAGCTGCTGTTTGCGGATTTCAAGCGACAATCGATGGTCGAACGATCGTTGCAGAAGTTCAAGAGAAAGAAGAGGCCCGGGACACCTACGACGATGCCATTAGTAGCGGGCAAAGTGCATTTCTCCTGGAAGAGAGCGATGAGAGTTCGGATATTTTTCAGATAAGCGTTGGAAATTTACCGCCAAAGAAGGAAGCTCTTGTGGAACTCCGCTTTGTCACAGAGCTCTCTGTGGAAGCTGAAGGTCGAGTTGTGTTTGTGCTGCCGACCGTTCTCAACCCGAGGTATTCTCCGGCGGACAGCACTGCAAGTCTCAGCACTCAAATTCCTCGAGCTGCTTCCGTCGATTCACCTTACTCGTTCGAGTTTGCCATGAAAGTGAAAGCTACCTCGGCCATCAGTGAGATAACTTCCCCGTCAAATACGCTGCGCGTCGAGATTGACGAGAATGACAACACTCAAGCCAAAGTGGGCCTGGCAGAATCGCACAAGTTCGATAAAGATGTTGTGGTTCATGTTCTGACACGGGAGCCGTTCAAGCCAGAGGCGATCGTTGAAAACGGGATCAAAATTGAGGGAAAAGAAGACGGAGAGGGCTTCATGTGGAATCCTGTCGTAATGCTGAACTTCTTCCCTGAATTTAAAAGCTCTGAGTCGTCAGAAAAAGGTGAATTTATCTTTGTGGTTGATCGCAGCGGAAGCATGGGTGGTAGTCGAATGGACAGCGCCAAAGAGACACTACTGTTGTTTCTGAAAAGCTTGCCAGATGGTTGCTATTTCAATGTCGTAGGCTTTGGAAGTAGCTATAAGACTCTCTTCAAAAAGAGTGAACTCTACAACGATGCAAACCTGAAGAAAGCCACTGATTTGGCTAAATCCATGCAAGCAGATCTTGGTGGTACAGAAATTCTCTCACCTTTGCAGTGGGTGTTTTCCCAGGAGCATGTGAAAGGCCATCCAAGGCAACTTTTCCTGTTGACTGATGGTGAGGTTGGGAACACTGCCCAAGTTATTAATACTGTGCAGAAGAATTCCAGTAACACAAGGTACAATTTACTTCTTTTATTTCTCCGAAGTACAATGTTTAGTATATAGCGGTATGTTTGGTTCATTAAATTAAGGGGGCGTGGTGGGGGGGTTTGTCTGTGGATAAATAATCTTTAAAATGTACCCATAACATGTCCAGCTTTGATTATCCTGTGGTTAGGAAGTCACTGGCAGACCCTTCCATTTCATCACACTATCTAATAGGTAGTGCTGTTTGATCTAGGTTTAGAACTAGTCAGTTTGGGGAAGCATGTCTGCACTGCACAAAGATATTTAAACTGTTAGCACAGTAAATTGAAATTTTAACAAAGTAGTTGTGCTATGCCCTTTTAAGTTACAGAAGTGATATTGATTAGAGAATGACGTACATGGTAATTACAAGGAAATGATATTGTAAACACCTGAATAATGCTTACAGTTGACTCTTTCTAAGATAGACGCCTTTTGGAACCCACACTTAGTGTCTGTCTTAGAGAGATGTCTGTCCTGTAGACAGTTGAATAAAGGAAGTACATGTAAAGAAGATGTAAGGACCAGCTCTACATGTAGATGTCCGTTTTACTTAGGTGTCCATCTTATAGAGATCTCTGTTGAAGGAGAGTCAAGTATACTTATCATCACTGAAGCATATGATTATGGGCAAGTTACAAACATGAACAACGTCAACAGTAACATTTGCCCTTATACTGCATTACCACTAACCACTACCACTAACCACTAACCACTAACTCCAAATTGGAAATAACACTGATATGCAGTTGAAGACGTGGTAGAACTCAGGACGTCCAATATAACTCAGCAAAGTTAGAGTCAATACAATACAAAAATTAATGTTACGAATTAACAACTCAGAATACATTTTCATGGAAATCTTACAGTATTGACTGATCTAGTAAATGTACATGTATATTTCATGACCTAGACGTACCTAAATGTACTTTAATAGTTATAGCAAAACTATGAACTATTTACATACCCTATAATTGTATGCATAAAAATTATTGACATTCCCTGCAAGTTTATTAGAATAATTTTTAAACTATGAATTATGAAGTTTTGAATTGTATTCTGGTAAACCTTAATCTTGTAGTGGTTGTCCATTATAACTTTTTAATCTGAATGATGCATGTTAGTCACTGGGTCAACAACAATGAACAAAATGATGTAACTCCCTTATCGAAATTCTCTTTACAACTAAACTGGTCAGGCCAGCCAGTTTTGGCTAATTTTAAGCACCCCTCAGAATAGATTCAGGGCTTCACTGTACTTGGTTATCACCCCAAGAGATTATAATGCAAGATGCATGTTGCATGTGCATGTCATTAAAAAACAATCTGCTTTCAAAAATTTAGAGGGTTTCTACTTTGACATATGATTTCAGTTATGACCAATATAGCCATCATTTTGCACAAAATAATTTTATTTTACTCAAAAATTGTGGCCTATACACTCATGACTGATTTAAGGATTGTTTATTCTATTTGTTTCAGGTGCTTTACTTTTGGTATAGGATCTGGAGTATCAACAGCCCTCATCAAGGGTGTGGCCAGAGCTGGAAAGGGTACGGCAGAATTTGTTACCAGTCAGGAGGATCGTCTGCAGGTTAAGGTATGAAAATTCTGAATTAATGAGTACACGACCTACAAAAAAATTGACCATTGATTCATATATTGCATACAACTTTTTTGCTAACAGCATGGTTAAACCTCCACTAACAGTTACCTCTCTAAATCGGCCAGCTCTGCTAATTAGCCACTGTCTTGTCCGTTGATCATTGCATTTGCTACATTGACAGATTATTTCATTGCCCTGGATACATGTGGAGAGATTTAACTGCAATGCAAGAATAATGTTTCCTACATTTTGTACTTATGTATTGTGTGCCTTTTACCATTCATAAAAACTGTGGGTTAAATGAAATAATGTGTCCACATCTATTCTACTGCCTGGAATTTTCCTGGTTATAGTCTTGCTTGCTTTAGCAGCGAGACTCTTAAATTGCAGGCATTTCTTTTTGTGTGTCATGTGTGTGTTTGTGTGTTCAAAATGGGATTGTGGTCCTCAGGCATTCTTAGCAGATACCATGGAAACTGGGGATATAACGAAAGCCATGCATAGAATAGAAAGCTGCGAAAGATGTCAACCTTTACCGGAACAGGTTGGTCCACGAATTCTATCACTTGAAAAAGTTGATTACTCTGGAACAAATGATTACTTCAGTGGTCGAAAAAAAAGAACAATTTTAATGTGCAAAACTTTGATGGTCAGGCCAACTGGTCGGGTGTTTGAAACTTTCATTGTTTGCAAATTAGTTTTGTGATGAGCATGAGGTTTATTTTCGGCAATGTCGGATGATTGAAATGATGTGCCATGTTCATTGCATTAATTCCTTGATTTTTGTGTATTTACACACGCGGTTCTAATCAATTCAGAAATAAAGTAGAAAACTCCACTGTCGATAAAGTTGGAAGTGAAAAACTTTTAGCGAGGAAATTCTGTTTCACGTAGAATAATCGTCTCAGGCTAGACTGCAAGCAGTCTCTCATTACTCTATTGAGCCACAGTATACGTAGGTTGAGAGCATAATTTTAATTTTTTGCTTGCCGCACATGGCTCTGAGGAAAGAAGGATGACTGCATGCATGCTCTCGGTCTAATCGCCTGCTCATTTCTAATCTTGTCCCCAAGCAAGCAAGACTCAATGCTATTAATTAAAGACCATTCTTGTTAAAGGTACAGCTATACCCTTCCAGTAAATGGTAGAATACTGCCTAATTTTCTGGAACATGCATGTGCCCCAAGACTTCATAGTAGTACATACATGTCCTCCCTTAGCAAGCCTGCAATGTTCACTGACCACACATGCAGAGAACTTTTTTTATTTACAAGAACTAGCAAACGGCTTGAAACAAGATCTGTGTGGTTTTTGAATGCACTTTTTGTCAGTCATGTCTGGTCAACTTAATCATCTATTTGTAACTATCTTTTTTTATCTCTATTTTCTTTCACTTCCTGCTCAGCAGTCATTGTTGGACATGATCTTTAATGTATCAGTTCTTTATAATTTGACCTTATGCTACCTTGTGCAAATTGTTGTAGATGACTGCACGGGCACTGGCTGCCCATATTAATATATAACCTCAAAGTTAATGCATGGAATGTTTTAATTATCCTTCTGGTTTTGCACAACTAGTGCTCCAAACATTCTGATGAGCTCATTGATCATGCAATCTACATGTAAAGGCAAAAAAGCCAAGAAATCTATTCTTAGAACAGGGGCAAAATGTAGGCGTGATAAATTAGATGGTTGACTCTAGCAATGACATGCAATTTTAATAAATACATGTAATTATTAAGTGCAATAATGAATCTCATATAATACATGATAAACGAAAGCTAAAATGCTGCATTTTAATTAAATCACACACTTAAAAGTCACATCGACATAACCACTGTTATGTGATTATTTAGTTGCCCAAAGTCTACAGCTGTACATGTATGAGATAGATAGATAGATAGATGGATAGTTTATGAAATAAGTACTTTTGCAGCCCAAAGGCTGAATTGCATATTTACAACTAATGTTGTGTATATAATACAAAAATTAAAAATTTATCTTAATCTGTGCTAGAAACTTGTTATGTAGAAGATAAAGTTAAAAGGATAAAAAAGGAAATAGATAAAACACCCGTAAAACCTAATATTATTTTCAGATGACTGAATCAATATGTCTGTGATGTGCTATGAAACAAAGACTCATCATCATCATCATCATCGTTATCATCATCACCATCACCATCGATGTCATCATCGTCACCATGACGCTATCACCGTTATTGTCTTTAATGTCATTATTATTGGAAATGAGACAATAATAACTCGTACAGTCAGAAGTGTGAAAGTCCTTTACAGGACTCAAATCTACTCACAAAGCCCACATTAATTTTACGGGTGTAAAATTAATGCACTTTAAGTGAATGTTAAGTAACATTTAAATGAATAATTATAATGTAAAATGGAGGATGTTGACAGCATTGGTCATATCACAATCTCCTCCTTCATTGGTCTGCTGTGGTACCACTTGGTACTAGAAGAATTACTGAAATAATTTTATTATCATGTGGAGAGGAAAACGGACTTCTAGGCGTGACAAAAAAAGAAAAAAAAAGGTGGAGGCTATGGTACATGTAATTTTAGGTTCTGGTTTTCTGGTTTGCTTGCTTGGCCTGATAGCCCTTGTGATTGGTCATAACACTGAACATTCCGGAAATTTTTCAATTGTTCATGGTGTTCTGAGTTTAGACAAATAAGATAAATTTTCCCCTTAGTGATTTTTTCTGGTGCAGTTAACCCCCAAAGCTTTGATATGTCTCAGGCGCCGTCATCATGATCTAGTGAGTCTTGAACAGTACTTCAAAGTGTACACCTTGTCATGAGTAAGGTGTAAACTTTCAACTTTTAACTCAAACAGGTTATCAAGACATTAAAACGAGCTCTTCAACCAGTTATCTCAGGTGTGAGCGTGGCCTGGGACTTAGGAGAAGGCTGGACTGTGCAGCAGGTCCCTTCGTCTCTTCCCCCGCTCTTCAGTGGTGACAGACTGGTGGTGTATGGTCTTCTGAAGCCTTCAGAAAATGCCAAACACGGAATGAATAAAGTACGATTAACAGGCACTTTAGGCAACGAAGAGAAAATGGAGCATTTCATCAGCTTTTCAACACCACCTGTCAGCAATACCTATTTCATGGATTCTAAGACTAACTCTAGTGTCTTACTTCATTGCTTAGCAGCCAAGACCTTTATTAACGTGAAACAAGACGACATAAGTGGCATGTGGGAAATCCAACGTGAAAAGTCCTCCATAATCAGCGTCAGTAAATCAACCAACGTGGTGTCAAAGTTCACCTCATTTGTGGCCGTCGATGAAGAAAGCCATCAGATCGTATCAGGACCATTACGAAAGCAGTTCGTCCCCTCATTTGCTTCGCAAGTCATGGGATTCTCACAACAGTGCTTTAAGACATTAGGTGTAGTGCATTCAGCTTGTGATTCCCAGCTGTTTGGTCAGCCGCAATTGCAAGCAATGGGTGGTTCTGGATTGTCGTACAAAGGTTCTTCTATCCTTCTTGGAGCTAAATGCTTGAAATCGTCTGCCGGAGAGGCAAGGTTCAAGTCACAATCATCGACCTTTTTTGGAGGGGCGCCCCCACCCCCACCCCCACTTGCTGCAGCAGCATATGGGGGTGGACATCCAGGCGCCCCTCCTCCTCAGCACGCCGCCCTGCCGCCACTATTATCCAAGAAGGCAGCCTCACCTTCCAGCTTGTCAAAGAAAGAAGCTTCGGGTGTCATGTCAGTAATATCATTACAGAAAGCCTCAGGAGCCTGGGACCTTACAGATCAACTGGTCTCCCTGTGTGAAAAAAGCCGAGATTCTTTGATCACAGGATGTCCAGCAGCGATTGCAGTTGGGACGTCAGAAGGGAAGCTGTTATGGGCCACTGCTCTGGCTCTGGCGCTGTTGATGGGCAAGTTTGGGGATAGAAGGGATGAATGGGAGATGATCGCCGAAAAAGGCAAAAAGTGGATAAGGAAAAATCTTCCAGCCAATGTGAAAGACGATGAAGTGCTAAAATTTGCAGCTGCTGCGATTGGAGTGCAGATATATTAACTGTAGACTATTAACAACAAATAAAAAATGGCGGCCGAGAACAAGAACGTCATTAAAACAATATGAACAACAGTAAACCTTGACATTTAACTTATTATCTGTAGTAAATAGTTTTATAACCTTAACATTATCAAGAACGTGTCGTGTTCGACTTGATGTTATAAACAAGTTTGATCTGATCTCGATACGTCTCGACAGTATTTTCCTTGCGTGGCCACCAGTAAGTTAATTTAAGTGGAAGAAAATTCATAAGTAATTTACGTTCAAAGAGTGTTTGTTTATCTGGTAACAAAATACGGCCAAGTTTTCAGTTCTAATTTCTCGGTACAAATAATCAAGCACCCGACAATTATTGGAATAAAGAACGGGTGTAAAGAAAAGACTGTTAAACAGTTCATTAAAATAGACGTTCGTGATTTATTAATTCTAAACCACCCGGCTTTTCCTTGTGATTTAAACATGATGAAACACTCCTACTTGGTTGGTTAACTATCCAGGGGGGAGGGGGGGGGGGGGGTGGGGGGGGGGGAATCCCNAATTTAAGTGGAAGAAAATTCATAAGTAATTTACGTTCAAAGAGTGTTTGTTTATCTGGTAACAAAATACGGCCAAGTTTTCAGTTCTAATTTCTCGGTACAAATAATCAAGCACCCGACAATTATTGGAATAAAGAACGGGTGTAAAGAAAAGACTGTTAAACAGTTCATTAAAATAGACGTTCGTGATTTATTAATTCTAAACCACCCGGCTTTTCCTTGTGATTTAAACATGATGAAACACTCCTACTTGGTTGGTTAACTATCCAGGGGGGAGGGGGGGGGGGTTGAGGGCGGGAGAATCCCATTTGAAAGTGACGGGGATGCTCGTTGTTTCGCGTGAAGTTGTAGATTACAGTTTTTGGTCTCATTGTTTAGGGAGGAAGTCGATTATTTTAACCCCATACAGTTATCGCTTAGGGTATAAAGTTGTAATCGAGCGGTAACATGTACACAAGTATACAATAACTGTGATTTATGCGCAACAGAAGAATCGAAAATTCAACCACTGAACATGAAAATTGTCTGATAATTCATTAAATTAAATAAATAAAAACGGAGGAAATGCTTTTCTTTGTGTATAAATGTTTAAAGGTGCTGCCAGCTGCCCGATATAAGTTTGCTGTCTGGACCTATACGAGTACGCGTATTTCGTAATAACGGGACGCGAGTTTGCTTCAGTCAAATGTCTGTGAGCTTTGCCGGGGATTTAACTGCTCCCCTTACTGATCAGGTGGTCCGTAAACGCCAGGTGTCCGCAACGCAGCGAGAGTCGAGTGTACTTTCAATTGTTATTATTATCAATCCTTGCCGTAGTTCTTTGTAAATAGGACGGTTTCACGATACTAATATGGTCAACTGAACGGTTTAGTAGTTAAAATTATATGTTTCGGCGCTTGCAGAATAGTGAATAGTGCCTACATGTTGATTTCAGATTATCAAAACATTAAAGCGAGCTCTTCAACCAGTTATCTCAGATGTGAGTGTGGCCTGGGACCTAACAGAAGGCTGGACTGTGCAGCAAATCCCTTCATCTCTTCCCCCGCTCTTCAGTGGTGACAGACTTGTGGTGTATGGTCTTGTGAAGCCTTCAGAAAATGCCAAACAGGGAATGAATAAAGTACGATTACAAGGCACGTTTGGAAATAATGAAAAAGTAGAACATTTGATCACCTTTAATACTTCCCTCCTGCCGAAGGGTTGTGTGAGGGATAAAGTAACAAATGTAAGTGTCTTTCTACATCGCCTAGCAGCTAAGACTTTAATCCAGGAAAAGCAGGATGATCTGAATGAAGCGTACAACCGCGGTGTAGAAAATGAGGAGCACAAAACGTTATTAATTAGCCTCAGTAAGTCAGCAAATGTGGTGTCAAAGCTCACGTCGTTTGTGGCTGTTGATTCAGAGAGCCATCAGTCAGTATCGGGACCACTTCAGCGACAAGTTGTTCCGTCGTTTAATGTGGCCTACAATCACTCTGCAAGGAAATGCAAGAAAAAGAGTATGTTTGGATTTGGGCTTACGGCCATCGGGAGAGCAAGCAGACCAGCCTCTGCACAAGAACAGAAGCGTGTGAAGAAGGCTAAAGGCTCCAAGTTTTCAAATCCGATTAGACAAAAGAAAAAATCTTTTGGTGGGCGACTCTCTAAGGCTGCTTGTGCTTTTGTAGACGCTGAGCGCGATGAAGTAACCAAACATAAACAAGAACAAGCAGAAGACGTCCCAGCCTTGTTGTCAGTGATATCGTTACAGAAAGCCTCAGGGGCCTGGGACCTCACAGACCAGCTGGTCTCCCTGTGTGGAAAAAGCCGAGATTCTTTGATCACAGGATGTTCAGCAGCAATTGCAGTTGACAAGTCTGAAGGGAATCTGTTATGGGCCACTGCTCTGGCTCTGGTGCTGTTGATGGGCAAGTTTGGGGATAAGAAGGATGAATGGGAGATGGTCGCTGACAAAGGCAAAAAGTGGATGAAAAAAAATCTACCAGTCAATGTGAAATACGATGAAATGCTAAACTTTGCTGCTGCTGCAGTTGGAGTTCAGATATAATAACTTTTGACTGCCAAAACAAAATTTAAATGAAGGCCAGGAACGAGGACGTCATTAAAACAATATGATCATCTTTAAAACATTTTATTTCAAATATCATGTAGTACATGACTTTAAGATATTCATTCGTTACTTTTTCTGAAAGGACCTATTTACTTGGAAGTGGGGGACCCCAGGTAGTTGAGGTAACCTGCTTGTCCATATAATCTTTCATTTTAATTTGATCACGTTTGCATGACAAGTGGGGTGACCCTTCGCGACTTACCTCACGTACGTGGGGTCCCCCACCTCCATGCAAACAGCCCCTAAAGAAGTTCAATCCCCAAAGGTCAATATACACATTTTGTTTTTTTATTTACTTAGTTTATTTGATACTTTTGCAGTCCAAAAGCTGCATTGTCAATTCACAACTCATATTATTTACATAAAACCAAAACTGAGAAAACTATTATAATCTGTTCTATAAACTTGTAAAAGATAAAGCTGAAAAGATAAAAACGAATACTAATATACACAAAACACCTTTAAAACCTTATTACTCAGAAGTTGATAAAACGTTTTTTAAACAGGAGGACATAATGAATGTATTTCAAAAACGATTAGTACGCCACTTGGGAACTGCTAAGCGCCCATATTCCCTTGAGGAATACGAATTATGGCTGATGGCAGGCAACAACTTGCTTAGGCTGTGCTCTTTGTCGGTAATAGTCAAGGTTAAAGTACTGTTGCAGATACCTTTATTGTATAAAATAATAGTTGGTATAGTTAGTATGCCTGTTACATCTAGTGCCTCCTTGTAATCTAAACCGGCGCAAATAATTGATAACGCTCTTCCTTCGACACGCTCTAGGTCACCCTGGAAGTACGAAGGCAGTGCGCAATGGAAAACGGGTACTTCATAAGTTAAGATAGATCTTATGCATGTTGTATAAAAAATCTAGACCTTTGTAAGGAAGATTTGCGCCTTTTAACTGCTCAACAAAATACAACCGTTTTGAAGCCTTCCTAACTATATTAGTGATGTGTTCATTCCATGATAAGTTACTGGTTACTGTTAACACCAAGCAGTTTCGCTCTTTGGACAACTTCTACCTCTTGTCTATTCACTGATCATGAGATGGGCTGAAACTCCGGCTGATTTTTCCCAAACGAGATTCTTAGTTCCTTGCACTTGTCACTATTTAGCTTTACTCTGTTGTCAGAGGACCACTGAGCTACGCGACCAGCTAACTGCTGTGCGTTGCTTTCGCAACCTTTAGCAACAACTTCTGAAGTCGTCGTATCATCTACATATTTCCATAGCTGGGCATTTAAGGTATCACTAAGATTTAAATCATTTATTAGGACAAGGAAAAGCTTTGTCCCCTGAGGCACACCTGACGGGACTTATCCCCGGTCAGAAAGATATCCATCAGCAATTTTAATTCGCTGTGCACGGTCTGTCAAAAAATCAACGATCCAATAAATTATACTAGTTGGTAAATCTTGCGTACAAAGCTTGTTTAACCCTTTAAGCCCCGTACAAATTCCTCCAACTGATCTCCATACATTTCCTTTAAGAATTAGTTGGGAGAATTTGATAAAAGATCAATGCATTTTCTCTTTGGTGATCATTTTATTAATTCTCGCAACCTTTTCTCTTGGTTATGTATTGGTGTTGTTAGGAGAAAATTCATGTTGGTCACAATTGGGCCGGGAGGGGTACTCCTTTACAAGAGGCTAATGGGGATGTGCCGCTGGATGGGGTCGCATTTTCACGACTGGAGTGACTATAATGGGGTGGCATTTTCAATAGAGTTACTAGAATGGGGTCGCAAATTTTCGGATTTTGGGGGTAAGTAGGGATTCAAAATGGGAAGATGCTCGGTTAAAAAAAATCAGAAAGTTGTTGTTTATTAAATTTAACAATAAGCTCGCATTGATTGCATTACATTCCGCCACTTGAAACCACATTGATAACGTAGATGCATAAATAAAAAGTGACTAAGTTGGGATCGCGAAAATTACATTTTCCAAAAAGTGACTAAGATGGGGTCTAAAATTGGCCAAAAAATAGACTATGATGGGGTAGGGGCTCTGAGAGGCTAGCGGCACAGCAAACATTAACCCAAGTACCACCTCCCCCCCCCCCC